CAGTATTTTCAAGCTCTAGGAAACACAAGATATTGGGACTACCTTGCAATCACGCGCATTGACATTTTCAGTGAAAGGGCTGGGTAATAACAACAAAAACCTGACTTTTGAGTAACAACACGTATGGCCAAATTAGTGACATTCTCCGATCACAGGGCTTCAAAATCCAGAATATCTTCTTTCTTTTTACCAGCTTTTTCCAAATTTGTCCATTTGAGCCGATGATTGCATCATAATAAAGAAATGAGTTACCCTGTGTACAATATTCCTGATTTTATAGAATACTTGATGTGCTATATCTGTCGCTCCAGCTACTGATAATTTGAAGATGCTACCCTTTGCCTGTAAAACCACGATGCCCATGTCAAGCAGCGCGCCTAGTAGGCACGCAGTTTGAAACTCTGACAAACTGCGCGCAAGATGGTGATCTGAAAATAAAAGTTTTTTCGTTCCCAACTTAATTGTCACTTCTATTATACATTTTGACTTTCAATATGAAAATCTCATAAAATCTGACGATAAAGCAAAATTTCCAAAGCTATATGAAGAACACCTACACGTGCCTCTGTAGAAATTCCAATGATAATATGTAGTTTTAATAGTGTATGCACAGTTTGCAATTTCTGGCTAAAATAGGCGCGCAGTTTGTGCTTTATTTCTTTTTAATCTCCTGATCATCTGACTTATCTCGAAATATTTTGAATTATACATGATGAATGCGTAAGGAATGAAATATAAAACGAGTCTTACGTATTTGTCATTTATGTCTAAAGTGCTAGATCGATTTACGTATAAGTTCCCGTTAAATCAGTGACGAAAATGCCATTTATCTGCCTATGTTTTAAAACTTAGATTCATTTTCACATAGTTTTTGCTAGTATTTGCAAGATTCGTATATTCGCTACAGAATGAACGCATTGAACAAAAATACAATGCAGGATAAATGTCTTTAAATTACGTTTAAAATTCAGACTCCAACTTAAATGATGCAATGTTGTTAGGCACGCAGTTTGTGATCGAAACAAAGATGGAAACTTAACTTAAATGTTGCCCCCTCCCCCATTACGGCTTGTGGGATTAACTGTTTACATACAGGAAAATAACAATCTATCATGTACTGATAAAGATTTTAACACTTTGTTTTTGTTTCAAAACATATCAAATGACTACTAAATCGTAGTTTTAGGGTAAGGGCTAAGAATACTTTATCGGTCTAATCTTGACCGTCTGAAATAAATGTGTGTTGACGAGTCCTGTACTTAATTAATCTTGGTTTTAAAACAGAAGCTTTCATTGTGGGCTGTTCTGCCCCACCTATGGGCCATTTTGCCTTACTCTCAACATTATTTTCGAACACTCTGAAAAATCACAGAAAATGTGAAATATAATCCCTTCATAAGATGGAACATGAAAGTTCGCGATGATTGACAGATTAGAAAAACCTCTGCACGGATCAAACTATTATGAGGGCCGTTTTGCCCCATGTTCCCAAAAAATTCCTGACTTCAGCAACCAGGACGATATCTGACCTAAGACATGTGGAGCGCTAAAATGGCAGACCCTTTTTTTCTGGGCCCATCTCAGAGGGAGGGGCGGGCCAGTGCATCTACACAGAATACAACCATAACTTGGTGTACTGTATAAAAGTAAACCTTGTAGTTAAAGGTCGCATGATGCAGTGTGACCAGGATCACACTGACCATGGTCAGAATGACCCTAGACATGATGAAATAACTTTTTCAGTCCTCTGAAAAGGTCACTGTAAATAGCTTTAAGTAGGAGCATAGGAATGGTCAATGAACAGTCTTTTGAATTTTTCAGAAAATGTGCCCAATATATTGCTCTAAATGATTGCTACAAACTTGTCTGAAAAAATGGCGGTCATAAAAAGGAAAAATATCGCCTTTACAAACGACATCTCCTATTACACCACACCGTGCGCAGATACTCTCTGATCTCAAAAATGAATGACTATGGGACGCAGTGCTTTCCTTTGACACATCATTTAAAGCCTTGCCAACTCGGGGCGTGGATGTTAATCTTAAGATAACGTTTCAAAATACAGTGACGAATGGGTCATCTAACATGCAAGTGCATGCTTTTCATAGGAACGAAAGTCCGGCGAAAGCGGAGGAGAAACTGAATTTCGTTTCCTTGTTTCACTCCGGTGCATGGTATATACATGTAACTTGGAATCCCAAACACCCGGATGTATTATGTACAAATTGTTCGCGGTAACGGATCTCTGTGCGAGGTACAAGAAATATGTTCGGAAACAAGGAAATGGTGGTGCGCGACATAAGATTTCACGTTCGCGATATAAGATTCGTGGTTCGAGTGCAAGGAACGTAGTTCGCGGTATCAGAACTGATGTTCGCGTTGTTGGAAGTCTAGGAGGCCTGATACAACAAAATAGTCATTCAATGAATGTAGGTTCATTCAAAAAATATATAGCGTTCGATTATACATGTGATCTACTTAATATGTGGATAGTATTTTGGAGTCGTATGTGGTGGAGTTGTTGATGGTCGTAAACATCTCAATCTTTACATGGTCAAAGAATAACATCAATAAAGCGTATTTTTATATTATCAATATATATTGAGCCAAACCTTTAACACCATTACTTAACATTGAAACCTGATTTTGATTGAAAGCAGAGTGCAAAGACAACGTACTTGAAGAGTCGATGATGATTTTGAAAAATAGTACTTTACGTCGAAAAATACATAAGAAGCTAAATATGTTATATTCAAATGTATTGTGAAAATGTTTTACATCCGTTAATAAGGCAATTTATATTTCAAAGAAGTAAATGGGGGATTATCATGAATAGTGCAGAGGCTTCTCGACACCATTGATTTCAAGCATGGTGTCGATGATGGTACCTTCGAGGGCTACACATACTTAATGTCCATTTTCCAATAGTAAATTAGCAAATAAATTAATTCCAGCTTACGTACAATCGACACGATGCAGTCTTTGTGATGAAATAGTCAATTATTATAACAAAATAAAGGGGGAGACGAAACACAGTCTAGGGCCTAAAATATTGAATAAATAATAATTTTGCAAAATGAACATCCTAGTATCAACCCTCGGCTATATCGGTTGAGTATTGGCTGTAAAAAAGGTTTGAGTGCGTGTTGAAAATAAGCATTTATTCAGAAGTTGCAGCATTGACCAATTTTTATCATTTATTCTGCTTCTTATTATAGATCTCATATGTTTTTACTGTTACATAATCAAAACATTATATAGAATCACATTTCAATATTCTATATTTACTGATCAATATAACATATTTTAAAATAGATAAAGCAATCTGAGATAAATAAAAATCGTGATATATTTTTTAAAACATCGGGAGAAGTCTTTTTGAACCTTTTGAAGAAAAATCGGGAGATAATCCGGATTTCCAAGAAAAAAATTGGGGGAAATCCAGATTTCTAGAAAGAAATCGGGATTTCTAGAAAGAATTCGGGGGTAAAACGACCGTATTAAGAATTCCAAAAATCGGGAGAAAATTAGGTAACCAAAAATGAAAAGGAAGAAAATCTGGATTGCTTAAAAAAAATCGGAAGAAAATCGGGGTTTATACATGTAATTTGATAAATACGTTTGCGAATTGTATTTGGGCATTTTACTATTTTTGTTTATTAATATATAAATTAAACAACCTAAACAAAACCTATCGTATACTTTCATTTTTTGCGAGGGCATCTCATTAAAAATCGGAAGTTTTGAACGTAAATCGAGAGGGTATCATTTGAAAATTCAGTTTTTACTGAAGAATTGGGATGCCTCATTAACAAATCTGGAGTTTTGAACACAAAATCGTGATATTTTATAAAAAATATTGAGATATTTTATGAAAAAATCGAGACATTTTCTTAAAATCGGGATATTTTCTTAAAATCTTGATTAAAATTGGGATGTTGAAAAAAAATTGGAATGGGAAATAAGAAATTGGGATTTCTCCAGATTTACATGGGAATTTGACAGGTGAGATATTTATATAAAAAAATTACCCAAACTAGCTGGAGAATGCTAAAAAAGATTTTGGTATATAGTTTTGAAGACATCTCGTCCAACGGACATCTTCAGTACCTTCCGAAAATATTTCATGGATATGTTAGCGAGCAGAGGACAGTTATGCGCCTCAATAATCTAAGATAATAAAAGTCTGATCACCTTGTAATATGACTTGTTCGAAACTATATTTACTATACCATACTATATGGTCCATATTTAAAATAAAATAGAATCATATAATATTTTTGGTCTATGAAAATATTGAGATGGTGTGATTTCAAGTTAAAGGGGGGGGGGGGCACATAAAGGTTGAAAAAACACAATCTACCAAACTATGGTCTCATCTATTTATTGCTTTTTTCAAATCTTATTAAATTTTCTTGAAATAATCGTATAATTCCCCTTTAGGTAATTTCACAGGTGTGCTATTGAATATTTCCTATTTGTATCAAAAGAGGTGTCCAGACTATGAGAGCTAAATATTGGACGAAATGCATGTCTCCAACATTAATAAACGTGTAACACTTAAATACTGCAGGTCTTGAAAGTTATATTGCAAAGTAAGGTCACCCCAAAAGCAAATATTTATCACAAATTGGCATTGGCCAGCTCAACTAGATGCATTTATGAGCGTGCCAACCACTTTGTTAGATAATTCTGTAAATAAGTTCTTAACTTCTAAAGATAATTGTTCTAGCAAGATTTTTGTAACTCTTAGCTCAATTTGAAAATATTTAACTCTTACAGAAAAACTTGGTTCATGAGAATGATATACAGTATTATGTGGACACTAAAACACAAAACATTTAACAATATCAAATTCGACATTTATTTTGCCGGTAATTTAATCAAATTAGTCTGGTATTTACAAATTAGTACAATAAATCTATGTTATCATATTGATGTTAAAAAGCTACATCTGATAACAAAATGCTAAATGCAATATGTCCCTATGTAATGAACAATTTCTTTCGCTGCACATGGCAGATACACAATCATTCATTAGTTCACTCCATAAATCTTCGAGGAAACGATGTTCATTTAGAGTTTATTCTTTCTTTCACTTAAAAGATGTCACGAGATGACAGTCTTCATATGCAGACTTCCGTAGACATATTCTAAGTGTGATCGAAATTACAATAACACGTATAATATATTGTTTGCACACATTCAGAGTAAACATCATGCATTGTCATTTACGAATCCGATTACAATGGGCGCCAGAATGATTTTATTCCTCATCATTGTAGTTTTAAGGCCGATTTTGTAGTCATTGTTGTCTTTTCACCGTTAGTTACCATAGGAAAGAGGATACCATCCAATGCCCTGTGTTTTTCCGACACGAACAAATGTACCTTAATGATATAAAGAATCCATGATAACAATATATTTTAAACTTTGATATTGGAACATTTAAATTAGCTTGAGAATCCTCCATTCTAATCAAAACGTCAATGGTTAGTATTGCAAAGTAAAATAATATGGGATATTAATATATGGAATGTAATTATTGATAATAGTTCAAACATGAAATCGGCAAGTCCACGGAGTAACAAATACTTATGAACAAAATGTTTGTGAATATCAGATTTTCAATCTCAAAATTGTCTTTTATTTGAGTATAATAAAGCTATATATAAGAAATATCTCAAGGTTAACGAGAGATCCAGATGTCCACCCCCCCCACGCAACCCCTAGGATTTGTGCCGAAAAACATGGAAAATATGGCACATAACCAAACAGCTGCAGGTGCACTTATTACTTTGGTTGAAAATGAAAAACTTAATACACATATATGATATATACGTATATATGTATTTCCGATTATTCTTAAAGTGGCGGTCATCTTGATTTTTTTAATACACAATTTCCATCAAATATGAAGAAAAGGCAAAGAGCTTTACTATATCCCGTCTGAACTACGTCAGTTGGAATAACAGCGAGATGACTTAAAAATATTGTTAGATAAACAAGTTACCATGTACAGCATCATATTTAATAATTATCAATGGTTAGCGTAGTCGGAGCATTAGTTTCATACCAATCAAAATGTGAATACGTACTCTTTGTTCGCCCACTTCTTTGTATCCCTCAAACTTTTGTCCATCAAATAAACTCTCTAAAACCTCGTCGAGGCTTTTATCTAAAAATGATAGAAAGACGATTTAGTTTCAGTTTTTGGGATCGAATTGGAAGGGTGGCTATTTTTATTTTCCACAAGTACCCTATAAACACAGACGTTGAGCCAATTTAAAGGAGGAAATATGTTTATTAGATAATTAACAAATATTTATAAGGGTTTTAGATAACTACTGAGAGCAATAATTGATATAAATCAATATAATTAATTATAAAGGCATACCAGTAGTTTCTATCGATATGTTCAACCACAACACAGATGTGTCATGTGATGAATCACATTGGGAAGATGACGTAGGTAGATCGTCATTTACTTCAGGTGCACTTTTTGAAATACCGTCGTATGGTACCAATGGAGATACTGTGACGTCATATTCTACAGGAAGTAATCCAATCATTTCCTCTAAACACTTTGCAGTCGAAGTTTCTACCACTACAATCAATAAAATATATTCCAAGGTAACATTTTTGAATTAGGATGACTGGTCTATCAAGCTACCTTCAAGATAGGATATTGTGACATTAGCAATTTGATATATTTTAATGTCCCTTGTAATATATGTGTGGGACAGCCAGGGTTGACACCACTAGTTTTCAGACTCTATAGTCAACGAATCAAAACAAGCTAATACTATTCTAACTCTAATATTGACGTTCTTTTTATGTAAATTAAATACATGTATGTTGAAGGGAAGACAAATAGTCCATGGACAACTTTACATAACTGGTGTGCATTACCCTGAATTTAGGTCATTACATCCAGAGAGGTCAAACGTATGCTTGTATTACAAGGACACATAAAAAGTTTAATATCATTTTACCTGCAATTAACTTTTTCTCTCCCGTTACCTGTAAATATAAAATATAATTCATAATTAATCGGTCAATTTTATTAAAATTGGATACGTGTATAAACAGAATAAACCGGAAGATATCATACGTCCGTCATACTCAGCCCCTTTCGCTAACTATTTAGCGATTTTTCAAACTGAGAATTACTTCATATTAAACAATCTATTTAAACATCATCTTGCCTTTAATATCTGCACAACTCTGCCATTTGCCCCGACCTCATCTTTGTTGATGTCAGCTTTCCACTGCCCGATATCTGCTTTCAATTGGTCGAAGAACTCCTTTGCCGTACTAAGGTCATCGTTTGATATACGTACTGAAATATCTAACATATATAGATCAAAGATTTCCTTTGCCTTTGTCTTCTCTGTAGTATCGGTATCCCCTTCGACTTTCTCTTTGACATACTCTTCAACATTCTCTTCAACATGTGTTAATTCATTTTTTAATTCTTTTGTGATAAAATTCTTGAACCGTTTCATCTTTTCCTTTGTCCGCAGATCGCAATTTGATTGACCTTTGTATTCAACTGTTCCGATAGACTAATTTGAAACGCAATTCAAATATCATAGGATGTGCAACCAGTATTTTCTTCATAATCTATTAATTAGAATTATTATTTGAACATGATGGTTGATAATACAGTGCTTCATATAGGATTTGGTCACTCCTCAAAAACCTTTCGCTAACCTAGGATACGGGAGGGTGTTGGTGACTTTAAAATACGCAAACATTAAATATTTTTGTATATTTCATGTTAAGAATATCACTTCTGTAGCAACTTTTACATTTCCAGGTATTTAACAGGCTATCAATTTGAGACACTCGGCTACCAAACTTATAGAGGGGTGTTACAGGTGTATAACTTATGTTAGCATTGCGTTTAATACTTCATGCATATTCCCTGCCATAACTTCTTTTCAGCAGCCACGTTAGTTTAACTTTAGCTCACCCGGTAGAGAAGCCATGTTGCACGTCAGATCTTTAAGACCCTATATTAGCCCCCAAAATATTTAGAAGAAAATGTACAGGATATCAAAGAAGGAACTTTGCTTGATAACCAGGTTAAAAAATTAGGTCATTCTGACCTTTATATTTCAAAATATAGGTCATTATATTAACATGTATAAAATGACATTTTGAAGGGAAATCACTCTTTCACATCATTATTGTCACTTCTATTTATTATCAAAAACTCATTTTTTATTAAGACTTTTTTTAATTGATCCGCTTGGTATTATCTTACGTTAGTGACACGCATAATATGCAACACTCGAAAACACAACATATAATAAGTAAAAAATGCCCAAAATACTGAATAGTGATCTTCTTAATACTTCAGATCATTGAGATCAATTGTCTACAAAAAAGTTTGCAAAATTGTGTCAGAATAGATGTTTTCAATTTTTTTTTAATTAACATCACAATGAGAAAGAACAAGGGGTAACATTAAAAAGCACATGGAGTAATTAACAAGTCAAAAAATGCATATCAATCAAATATACTATTGATGTGCTTTCTTGAGAGCAATTGCTCATATACAGTTTGCAGTGGCAGTGAAATACTGAATCCATTATTTCACATAAAATATAACAATTTCTAAAAGGATACTCTGGACTTTACACAACTGCTGTTCTTCTGTAGATGAGTTCATTCGTGTGTTTATTCATTATAAATATACTATATGAAGGCAACATTTCAGACATATCTTTTGATTTTAAAATGTCAAACGTTGTGCAGTTCGTTTTGCTTTTATACCCCTTGTGCCTACAGCCCTACTCCCAACAACACCGTCCATTGATTCCATCAATACTATAACATAAATCTGGATCTGGTTTGTATTCCACCCATGTACAGTGAGATTTAGAGGACACAAACTTATTACTGGGCTTTTACACAAATAAGGCCATATGTTTCTTTTTAAACAGTGATTGTATATTTCCCATCTACTTGAAGATGGTCGTCTGTGTATCGTTTAGATTGGTTGGCTTGATATACACCGAAAGTGAGTTGACATTCGTCATCTTCAGTCAAAATGGGGAAGTCCTCGAAAGAGTCCACTACGATTTAATTATTCAAATGTTGTTTTCCCATCTACTGATTCAGGCCTCCTAGACTTCCAACAACACAAACACCAGTTCTGGTACCACGAACTACGTTCCTTGCACTCGAATCGCGATTCTTACACCGCGAACATGAAATCTCTGACCGCGCACCACCATTTCCTTGTTTCCGAACATATTTCTTGACCCGCGCATAGAGATTCGTAACCGCGAACAATTTGTACATAATACATCCGGGTGTTTAGGATTCCGAGTTATATGTTAATATGTAGTGGTGTGTGATAGCTGTGGTGGACCAGAAACTGTCCCGGACGTCCATTTTTGTGACGGTCAAAGATTAAACAGACACATTACTCTTAGCCCTTTCAATAATAGTGGTCAATTGTTATTTTCCTGTATGTAAAATGTTAATCATACAAGCTCTAAAGGGGGGGGGGGCAACATTTTTAAGTTAAGTTTCTGTCTAAACCATGGGAATAGGAGATACAGATACAGCACAAGTATTCTGGAAAATCAGGAGAATTGTTCATAGGACAAATCAATTATTATGATGCAATCATCAGCTCCAATGGAGAAAATGGAAAAAGCTATCACTAATTTTACCATATACGTGTTGTCTTTAGGATAAAATTGCGCGATCTTACATCATCTTAGTTGTTAAAGTTAACCATATCATAAGAAATGAATACGATTTGGGGAAGTGTGAACATCATAGCTTTTTCTAAAAACCATTTTACAAATGGGGGAGGGGGCTTTTGAACCCCTTGGGAGTTCGTGTGATGTTTTACGGGTGGGTTTGTAGGGTAATTTTAAAACGATTCTAAATTATTACCGTAGTTTACAGATTTTCGTGGGAGGAAGCAAAAAAGATATGACATTGCCAGTGTAAAAATGGAGGTCTAGAAGATTTCAAAATCAATCATGTTAACTTTTGAAACTAACCAACAGAATGATTGCGTTCTTAACTATGACGGATTTTGTTGAAGGGTGGAATGATCATTAATGTTCGTATATGTAAATGGGCGATGGAAGGCCGTGGGTGGCGAATAAAATACAACAGAAACTATGATTTAAAATGTCTAAAAAAGTCTATTTCAAAATCTGATACATGTATCTCTGCAACAATTGACTAACTAACTGACTAACTGGGCAACACCCAAACTCAACTGAGTGAGTGAATGTGATCTATATATAACATGAAGACATGAATGAAAAGTAAAAACAAACACAGCATGAAACAACATACAAAACTGGTTTAAACAATAGAGCATATATACAAAAGTGACTTGCAAACAACATGGTTATAAATATCTGAAATACTGGATGTAAAAGTAGTTGATGCAAGAGGATTAAAAGGACCTGTTAAAATGAACAAGGAAACAAATGGGGATTGATCAATATGAAAATCAAAATATGAAATAGCCTGGTTACATTCACGCGGACAACGTCTTTAATGGTCCCACATTAAACCTTATTCGACCATAAACATTAAAAATAAGTTACAAAAACATAATAAACTGCACTTTTCAAAATGATTTACAATAAAATATTTAGTAAAGGTTTATCCTCCCCTGAAAAACATCCACGACCTTAACAAAATACAATATAAATAACACCATATTGAAGTGCCTAAGAATTAACGCATGCACATAATACATTAATTGAATAACAAAAGAAAACAGTAATGAAGTGGCATCATACTTGAATCAATGCTACATTTTAGATACTGAAATTTGCACTGTGTTATGATAAACCTGAAGAATATAAGCAAAATGTTTAAAATTGTATCTCTTGGCAGCACCATTATAGGTTTATATCATCCCACACCACAATAGGCAAAATAGTGCACCATGGTAGGCAGTTATATACACCAATATAGGCTTACATATACACCATTTTGTGGCAAAGTGGTACACCATGATTGGCTATGGTATACACCATTTAAAGCAGTTATGCATCAATTAAGACCAAGCAATACACCATTTAAGGCAATGCTATACACCACTAGAGATTATAATTAAATTAACATCTGCAAATATTGGGATTGTAAATGGTTTAACTATTAATGCAGCAAAGATACAAATGTAATTACTTGCATGATTGTCATATTTAAGTCAATCTTAAAGAAAATGTAGATTATAATATTATGTATAAAATTGAAACACATTGATTTTAAAGTCAATAATATCACTATCAATATCACATCAGCTATCAATATATCATTTCAACAGAATTATATCAACAGCAGTGTTAGATTGTACGTTATCTCATATCATCATGTAGTGGCTAGTTGAAGCACACGAGTTCTTCAGACATCAAAGATTAATGGTTGGTTGGTAAGATTGGTATATGGATACGATTTCCTAGTAGTCCCCAGAAGTTGGAATTTCCAGTAGACGATTTGACAAGGTCATCGACTCTGATTTGTTGAGATCGGATCACTGATGTATATGTTTCTAAATCTTGCGTTCGATCCTTAAGTTTATTTTCGATGTCCGCAATTATAGCTGAATATTCGTTGGAACGTGATGAAAGTGCAGAAATTTGTTTTACGGATTCCTGAAGTTTAGATTGCAGAAGACTAGATTCACTGGTCGAGGTATATAATTTATCACTATATTCACGAACATCATTTTCCAGAGATTTTATCAATTTCCTTTGTGTTTTCAGCCGAGTTTTGTCGTCCAATCGTTCACCTTCCAATTTTGCAATTTTTTCTTTATACATCTGATTACCTTTCTTCTGTCCAAAGAATTCACTTTCGATCCGTTTATAATCGGAAACTACATTTGTATATACGTCCATATTTACAGATTCTGCTTGGCTGTACTTGTTGTGCGTTTTTGGCTTTGTCTGTACCTGCACAGATTTACAATTTACAGTCAAAGATGATTGACAATCCTTGGTGCGATGCATTCCATAAGTTCCACATAATAAACAATAATATCTCTCTTGTATAAACGAAATGCATTGTCTTTTACGATGACCTCTTCCTTTACAAAACCAACAGGTCACGAGTGATAAATCCATTTTGTGTTGCTAAAATTCAGTCAGTCAGCTATAAACTATTTGCTCACCTCACACGCTGTTATTTTTGCCTACCCCACTCCTGGTACCAATGTAAATGGGCGATGGAAGGCCGTGGGTGGCGAATAAAATACAACAGATACTATGATTTAAAATGTCTAAAAAAGTCTATTTCAAAATCTGATACATGTATCTCTGCAACAACTAACTAACTGACTAACTGGGCAACACCCAAACTCAACTGAGTGAGTGAATGTGATCTATATATATAACATGAAGACATGAATGAAAAGTAAAAACAAACACAGCATGAAACAACATACAAAACTGGTTTAAACAATAGAGCATATATACAAAAGTGACTTGCAAACAACATGGTTATAAATATCTGAAATACTGGATGTAAAAGTAGTTGATGCAAGAGGATTAAAAGGACCTGTTAAAATGAACAAGGAAACAAATGGGGATTGATCAATATGAAATTCAAAATATGAAATAGCCTGGTTACATATATATATTATTCATGTGTCTGTATTTATCCTATGGATACGAAATATATATACGACACAAGATAATTTTGGTATGCACCATTAAAATCGTATCCGACTGAAACAACGTGATATCCAATCATATCCGACGGATACTATTTTTTCATTAGTTTTGAATTTAGCGCCGAAAATTGTTTGATAAATAGCAGCCATGCGATTTAACTTCCAGAATATAGTTCCAAATAAAACATTTTTTGCTCATAAAAATGATTTAAATGTTTTCATGCAATCACTTTATTCGGTTTAGAACCCGAACACAATGAAAAAACTAGAATTGAATTGATTTCTAAACCAAGGTGAAAAGCTTAATGTGATGACCATTTTTTCCAAAGGATTTGGATGATTACAATTATCTGCAACCATAGAATAAATAAGATATTCTATGATGTTCTCGGGCTATTATTTTTATCCACTCATGAATATTGCCCATCTCCACTCACTCGTTGCTATCACTCTTAGATATGGGCTATGTACTCATGGATAAAATGATATCCCTCAAAAACCATAGGATATCCTCTATATATCCAAATGTAATATTTATCATCCACTCTACCCTATATTTGCAGATATTAAAGACAGACATTGGATAATGTCCACCAATTTAAGCATTGGGTGACCACATTTAGTAGATTTAAAGGCTCAAATAATAAAAACAATGTACTATATTTAAGATCTAATGTAGTGTAATGTAACCATCTCAAAATGATGAAATCTGGTGCACGAATCAGAAAAATAATACCATAGTTGAGATCAACTCAAAAATTCCTACAATTTGTTTTATATGGCACTATATCTCGGTGATCTTGTTGCTTTTTACATTAATAACTTTTGAACTTGAATAGTTATTACACATATCAATTGTTCATACTGCAACACGGCTCTTATTGTTACAATTTGTTATTGTATCGGCAATTAATTGTAGCAACAATGAGTCAGGTTGCAGTTTACATTGACCCATTTTTATACACGTACACACAATAACGTTCCTAGATCCTTGCAATAGTTTCATAAACTCTCCGCACTCAAAAGCCATGTGTTTGTTTTTGTTGTTATTACCCAGCCCTTTCACTGAATATGTCAATGTGCGGTATCACAAGGTAGTTCCAATATGTTGTGTTTTCTGGAGCTTCAAAATGATATTCATTCACATGCATGAACAACTTGGAAAATATTTCTTCCGAATTCCAAATGAAAACACTTTGTTTGAAATTTAGTTATGCGTAATAATACGAATAAAAAATGACGGACTTTCTTTCGACCAGGTGTGTGGTTCGCGGTTATGGATCTCTGTGCGCGGGTCAAGGGATATGTTCGGAAACAAGGAAATGGTGGTGCACGGTCAAATATTTCACGTTCGAGGTGTAAGAATCGTGGTTCGAGTGCAAGGAACTAATTCGCGGTATCAGAACTGATGTTCGCGTTGTTGGAAGTCTAGGAGGCCTGTGGTTGTGACTTACAGTATATTTCTGCACAATAAACTTGAGCTGGATTTTTAAATATGAACATCGGTATGATCAGCCAGTGAACTGTGATAATATAAAAAATATTCATTGACAAAAATGACTCCTGTCATATGAAGATTCATCTCACTTTTGCATGTCCATTTATATGGAGGCATAAAAAGTAATTACATGTTATGTTTTTTAGAGCCATGGTAAAATATATGCTTCTCTAGAGGTCATGCCTCAGTGCAAGCATGCATATAAGTTCATAAAATGATCATATGAAACAAGAAAATATACTTGAATATATAAAACACAATTTTAAAATGGCTGACATCATTTTATTTCATGTTGAAAATTGCACAAAAGTTCCATTTTGGTCCTTACCTAGATTTTTACATATCTCAAGAAGTACCTTAGAAGTACACTTTCCCACTACATATAACTTTCTAGGTAAGAACCAGGCGTTATATGAACAAAGCAAGAGTTTATCATGACCTTCCTCTCTCTAAAAAATAAGTAGGTCAACACAATTGCAAACATTATTAACTAACCCCTACTCAATGACTATTGAAATATGACTATTTATATGTACAAAATATTAATCAAATGAATGTATACAGTGACACAATCAAAAAATGAGACATCTGCCAAGCTGGGTTTATACATTCTGGAGACGTTTTCTGAGACTGATAAAAAAGTCACATTTTCACAAGAAGTGATACATACCTCCCAAATCAACCAACGTATACTAATAATCTTTAATGTTTTTTATTGCTATTCATTGAAAATATACGTATGTATCTACTTGTACAATTTGATCTTACATATCAAGGAAATTAATGATATTGAATTTTTCAAAAAAATTTAAGTGACCCCAGCGGTGTTTATAGCCATTCATTCTTTAAAATCAGGTTCGTGGTTAATCTAAATCAAGATTTCAAGTGTGCTTACTTCTTCAAAAAGTTTGAGGAAATCAATCGGTTTACTTCTGATATTTTTTCTTTTTAAAACGATGGCCTGTTGTTTAACATTCGAATAGGTACCGACATTCTCGTTTTTATAATTATTCCGATTGAAGATTTCAATGTTTCACAATTAGATTGAAAAGAGTATTTTACCCGTTACAAAAATACCGTTTTTGTTTTGATATGAATAATACAGGTACAACAGAATAAGTCCACATATCCCGTACAAAACGAATATTAACAGTAAGTTGGACTTTGGTGTAACACTATTTTGTTATTCATACTAACGTGGTGATAAGCATTAATACAGTGGTTTATATTTCTATCTTACAGCGTTAAGGTAAGTGTAAATATATGTTTAATTTTGTGTAGGATATGTCCATTTAATATATTACTTAACAATCGATGCAATCATACACAAATTCTCGGTTATTTGACACAGTAGTGTGAGGGAGAACTTTTTGATAATGGCGAACAAAAGTAAAGCATTCAACAGTGTCATTAATGATATAGCATTGTGTTTGTATGTATGTTCCTGAAATGAACATGTAAAAGTAGTAGGCAAATAATAAGTGTGTTTATTATCTAAAAGAGGAATTCTTAGTGTTAGACTACGAGTTAGTAGTTCTGGTTGAGGACCTATACATACGATACATAGGTTTAATTGACCGAGATTTTCTTCATCAAGATGGACCGTTGGAGCGGAAGAGTTGCTCTCGTGACGGGCGCTAGTAGTGGTATCGGAGCGGCCATTGCTGAAGACCTCGTAAAAGCTGGGGTGAAAGTTATTGGGTGTGCCCGCCGTGTAGAGCTAATACAGGTTAATGCATCTCGAATGTATTGTCTTGCATGTCCACTAATTACACTTAAAAGTTTGTATCACTAAAAATATGAATTCCATAAATGTTAACGTGATCACGGATTAATAAATATTGTACATTCTATTATAGACTAACTTAAAATATTTACCAAAACCCTTCTATAGGCATTAGCTGAAAAACTTAAAGGAGAGCGTGGTATGTTAAATGCCATAAAATGTGACCTTTATAACGAAGATGAGATCAAAGCCATGTTTGAGGCCATCAACAAGGATCATGGAGGTGTAGACATATGCATAAACAACGCCGGTATGGGGAATTATGCCCCCTTATTGGACAGTGAAACGACTAAGTGGAAGCAAATGATTAATGTGAGTTAAGTTCATCGCCGATTTTTATATTAATTGATTTTCAAATCAATTCAAATATTGAGTAACTTTTGCTGACTTAAAATCAGTTTTGCTATATTTTATACACCATGCTCTATGATTCTACTTTTGAATTGTCTTACGTAGTCTTGAGTTTTGACTATTAAACAGAAAACAATATATAAGAAAGGGTGGTGTGTACATTGTCTTCAGCTGAATATTCTTGCGCTGTGTATCTGCACTCGGGAGGCTATTAAAGGTATGAGAGCACGAGGTATGGATAACGGTCACGTAATACATATAGCCAGGTGAGTTATTACAACAAACACAAATGAACATTATTTCATTTTAAGTAACAATTCAAAACATGTAGGGGCGAGGAGAAAAAATTGACATAGCATATGATTAAAATGGTCTGACTTGAGTAGCTATAACGGGATGTACATGTACCATCCTGTCTTTTCATAAAAACGGCACCTTATACGTCAGAAACTCCATAGCAATTTTGACAGACGTATTCACTGAACATTTCAAATTATTATGAAAAGGAAGGCAAACATATTCAATGTCTATGCTTCATATGTTTGAAGTATGGATGCTCATCGTATTTACCCGGAGCCGGGAGAGCACTTCCTGGCAGCGACAAAACAAATGGTGAGAGCTCTGTTGGAGGGACATAGGAATGAACTAAGAGCGTTGCACTCTCATATCAGAGTATCGGTGAGTTAATGTTCAAAGATTTAATAAATGGAACATTTAAACATGAATTGAAATTAACAGCAAAATAAGTTCACAGTGTGAAAGGGATAGGTGGATGAGGATACGGTGTCCAAATATCAAAATTGTACTGTGGGATAGTTAGGGTAACATTTGGACATCGGCACTTATAGTGACTATGTATATGCTTATTGTGTAGGAGGTATGCCCTGCGATGACCGAAACTCCTTTTACTCTGCAGGGAGGCCCTGTTGATGAGCAGAGTTCACAATATAAGGTAGATTTAGAACGAAACAAATGGTTCGTATTTAGAACGAAAACTTTTTTTTTTTATGTGTAAAGTTTATCAAAAACGAGGAATATAACTTAATCAAAAGAAGAAAATAATTGGAAAACGTTAAAATTAATTTCTCGAATAAGTACGTTTATTTCTTAATTTTGGAATCTTAAAACACCATTCAAAATGCTTCATTGGCTTTGCAACTAAGGGAGAAGTACAATGCCCTTAAACCAAGGATGCCACATATTTTCCTCAGGATAAACCCTGTAGCCCAGCAAATTATCCATTTGTATTGCATGCGCATGTAAGAAATTTGAAATAGAAATATTATATTATTTAGATTCACCTCCTGACTAGCTGGAGTGACGAGATTTCTTGTCACCTCAGAAATGACATTAAAACCCAGAGTGACGAGAAACTTTTCATAAAATGTTCACTAAAATTGCTGTTATTAAATTATTTTTCATCCGATTTACACAACATTTGTTTCAAAGTGTGTAAAACTGATCTATGTTGTCTAATTTTACTAAGTTTAGAATCTATAGTTGTATGGGTATGTAGTAAAATGTCAAAAGGTGGCAAAAATGGAACATTCTCTGGTTTCAACCGCCGGTTACCGATTTTAATGCCTGGGATTCAAGAGGTTCTTGAAACGTTGATTTAAGGAATCATGTTTTGTTCATTGGCATGCAGGTATAATTTTAATTCTTTATCTGTTATCATTTTGAATATGTCTAAGTTCCAAGAATATGAAAGTATATGCAGTACATGCAATCTAGTACATGCATATTTTCAATTGAATAAGTATTTGTTTGCTACTCAGTGGAGTACACATGGGTTTTAAAAAGAGAGAATTGAAGCTATTAACAAAGAAAATCGTATCAAACTCTCTGGCTATTAACCCTAATGTGTACAGTGGGACCGGTCCGTATTTCTCTGGCAGGAAAAACTTTTTTATAGTGCCTATAGCTACAGATAAACGATAATTTTTGGTGTAAAAATTTGGGTGATCGGGGATTACTATGGCTGAGTTAGCATGGTGGGAACTTGGGATTTGTTTCAGAAATTGCTTGAAAATCAAACCATCTATATGGTTTCATAGAATAAAACTATAACTCTTTCTTTTAAATATAGACCATATAGAATACTAAATACCATTTCAAACAAGCCATACTTCAAGGTAATCTGACTTGTATTGACTGAGATACGATATTATATTGTGGTCCGCGACTCGCGTTTTGATCAAAATAATTTGAGTAAAAAATGTATTTTTTCAATAACTAATGATCATATATCCATGGAAACTTTTCTGGGAGGTCCTGAACATGTTTGTCAGATGTTTGCAAAAGCACATACCCATATCTTTATTTGTTTTGTAGAAAAATTAATCGTAATATGCATATCATTTACAAACTTGAGAATATATATGCATCAACATATTACACTATTATTTGACGTTTGTCACTAGCAAGCAGGTCAGAGTAAATTGTATTTTAAGTTCTAGTTTTTGAGAATTTTTTTTCTGTTTTCTCTGGTGGCGCTATTTATTCATAATTTTTTCATAAATCAGTAAATGTAGAGCCAAACATGTGATTCTATGTAATATTTTAATTATGCACCACTAGAAAAATATCTATGATTAGAAGTAAAATAAACCATGAAAATATGTCAATCCTTTTGGCTAAAATACACTTATTTTCAACGCGCAAGATTGCGTTTTCGCCAGTCGAGATGCACTAAAAACAAATTTTCTCGGCTAATACTCAACCAATATCCGAAATCTTTACACTGTAATATAGCCAGGGGTTATTTAAAAAAATGTTATCTGTTCAGTATCTTGGGTTTTCGGCTGTGATCTGTCTTCCATCTCTCCATTTTTCGATATTTCATTTTCGACCAAATTATCTCTGGGTCTAGGAAAGGTATTTACCCAAGGTTTTCTGTCCTAAAAAGGTAGATACTATATATATCTGTCACATTTAGTACACTTTTCTGGCTAAAAAGCATTATATGTTGTTTTTGACTGAAAAAAGTAAAAAATACGCGAAAAAAACCATGTTACATTGACCTTCTTTTGAGCCCAATTGACCTATTTTTGAGATTTTGATACACTCCCCTCGATAGTTTTGAATGGCCTACAATATGGTACCTTACTTTTCTCTGTACCTCTTCAACTTTTGAAACGCCAGGTGAGGGGTCATCTGACCCCCCTGTCCATTAGTGTTATGAAAAATACGTTGTACACATTAGGGTTAAACTGAGGCCGTGATGACCAATAGTACAATGACGTCATTTCAAAGGGCAATATAGTGACATATTGGACCAAGGGCCGCAGGCCCAAGGTCCAATATTTCACTATTTTGCCCGCAGAAATGACGTTATTACTATTATTACCACCGTTAATGACCAGGCCTGAAATAGCAAATTTGAAATAGAAAATCTTACGCACTGAACGATATCACTTTTCCCGGGAAACATTACCGGGCGGATAATGTCATTATTGCCCGACTAAAGTCATTAACGCTCGACACAATATTGCTCACGTCAATATAGCAATTTAAATGCCTTCTCAACTAGTACTAAAACCCCTAGAACAGGCCCTGCAAGGTGGTAATAATTTGAGTTAAAGCTGTGTACTTTATATACCTCATTGTTCTAAAGACGAAGTGTGGAGTTATATTATTGCTCATAGAAAAAAAGTTGACATATTTTACTTATCTGTAACGCGTTGTCTATTGTGGTCTGTTTTTGTTTCAGTTTCTTGAGGCCAGGGACGTATCGGCTTCGGTCATGTATATCTTGTCTCAACCACCACATGTCCAGGTGAGTAACAAACTTAGACATCGATTTTAATAAGTGTTATTATCTCCACAGTGCTTGTTTTCAAAAAAAGAAAAACTGTCAATATCAATTCTGCGCCTATGATTTAAATATGATGGTGTTAGATGTAGTAGTACTAGTTCCCGTTTTAGTTATTTCTAAATTGTAATTGGCTCTTAGTTATTTAAATAAAACATTGTCAATAAGGATACTTAAGAATAAAAACCGTTAACTTAATTTTATTCAATGCTATTTTTGAATCATTTCCAGGTTCATGACTATTGGAATGTTTTCAGGTTCATGACGTTCTTCTTAGACCAACTGAGCAAGTGTCCTAAATCACAAAATAAATATTCGAGCATCTAATGTGACACTACCGCTACATGTAAAACAGGCATAAGTGTAAGAAGTATAGTTCACAGTAGACAGCACGGTGATATTCCTGTTAAATACAATAAAGTATAAAGACTAGTGGTGTCAATTAACCGCTTGAGCATTAACCGGTTAACCGGTGGTTTTTACCGGTTAAAGTCGGTTAACCGGCGGGAAATTTGAACTTATAATTTCAAATGAAATCTTCATCTTCGATCTTGAAAGTTGAAAAAATTGGAAAATGATATATCGGCGTTTATTTTTTACGTTCGTCAAGCTTTACGCTATTCTATGTAAGTAAGCGCGGGAAAGCAATGTGGCAGGGATTAAAGTTGCTGATTGGATGTTTGTAAGGAATTATCGGACCTATCACATGTATGAGTAGCTCACATGAAACTGACGCTTGAAAAACAAACAGATTAAAATGCAAAGTAAGCGCGGGAAAGCAATGTGGCAGGGATTAAAGTTGCTGATTGGATGTTTGTAAGGAGTTATGGGACTTATGACATGTATGAGTAGCTTACGTGAAACTGACACCATAAAACCAAACGGATTAGCATGCAAAATAAGCGCGGGAAATAACAGAATTATACACGGTCAACTAACCGCCCATAAAAACTCAGACCGGTCAAGGCATTATCGGCGGTTAACCGGTTAACCGGTTAATACTTGACACCTCTAATAAAGACACATCCATGTAATCTAATGCTTTAGTTCGACAGCACTGTGGCATTTCGATATAATGCACTGGAATGTAAAGAACATGCACCATTGTAATACGAATAGTTTATATTCGACATCCCTTTGACATTTTAATATAATACAGGGAAATGTTTTTTAGTCTTATTTGAAAATGTTTATTTTTGTGTCACTGATATATAGAGGATATCCTATGATTTATAAGTGATATGATTTTTATCCACGAATGGATATGATATCTGATATTTGAAGGAGAGAATCAGATCTAACGTTCAACCCAGACAAAAAAATGTTTATTTTTTTAAACATTTTTGGCTCATATCATTCCTTGTGTTTTTTTTCTAAAAAGCCATCAAGTGTAGAAAATGTATAACTTATTGCAGGAAACTAAAGTCTAACGAAAATGTAAAATGTTCTATCTTTACGGTTACCAAATGTATTACTTGGGAGAATTTAAACACTATTCCCCCATTTTTGCACTTTGTCTTGTATAACGTTTAATCCTCCATAAGCCAGTGACATCTATATTTCCATAGAAAGTTATTTCACTCAAATACAATCCATCATACCATTTATTGCCTGGCCATTTGTAGTAAAATATCCATTAGCTTTACTTTTCACACCAAACGTTTTATAAATGAAATCTGCAAGGGGACTCGAGGCATTTATCTTTATTTTCTGTCATCTGATCTGAAGTCGGGCGAAATCTTATTATAAGGATCAAACTGCAACCAGACAGTGCTGATCGAGGAGAGTCGTCTCAGATGAAATAAGATGCGATCGCGAGCAGATGGTAAATCGGATATTCTGATTAAATTGTTAACATGGGTGTTGGCATACACCTTTAGTATTAGATGTAAAATGAGCTAAACAATCGTGCACAGGGTGATACAATAATGCAGAGCAATAATTGTGTAATATTTATCAATAACGATAGAAAATGTTAAATACTATTGTACTGTATGTTCAATGTATACTTATTTAGCATTGCTCAAAATATAATGGAGCTGTCACACATTGGCAGTGTGGGCTCACCGTTCGCCACCGTGTGAATACGGTGGACAAAAAACTAGTTCAAAAGCAAGATATCCCCAATCACACAAAATACAAAAAAATTGCAGAATGCATTTGTATATTCGATATGACCTAATGCTAAATGAAAGATTCAAATTTAAAAACTCGAAAAACAGATTAAGGAACTAACCATGTGTTGCCATCCATTCGAATTGCTTATGACCACAATGGTAAAAATCAAATATTTGTTGCTAACTGCTTGCCTTCGTCATTTTTAAAGATATAACGTTAACAAAATAAAACGTAAGATCTGTGCATTTTCACTAGAGACATATATTAATCTATCATATCATATCACAAATTCGATTTCAGTCAGCCTTCACTTTGAATTTGAATTTAGATGTATGTCTCCTTAACATTTTCAAAAACACCATATGTGGCGTTAAAGGATGACAGAAATCAGGCTCGGTGTACTAAATGTAATCTACAGTCATATCTCAACAAAACCTCCGCAATTGACGTTTCCGATAAATCGTGCCCTCTTTTGATCCATCTGGGAAAATATAGCTTATTGGCTAGATTGATGCCCATTCAAAAATGGTATTAACTTTTTGCTAATTTTATTAAAGTACAACCTTTGACATCATCAACCTAGCCAATATATTGTGGTTTCTCTGATGGATCAAAAGATGGCACGATTTATCGTAAACGTCTATTCACCTGATCAAAATGGAACGGACACTGTCCGGCCGAAGAACAACTCGGGGGCATAATAAGAACCGTCTTTGAAATAATAAACATCGATTTATTCACGCTTGTTATTCCTAAGATTTGCCTGAAGAAATTACCGCTTGATATTAATTAAAATCAATCCAAATATGGAGAAAGGTATCATCAACTCTGCAAAAATGACAGGAACATTAGAAAAATAGTGGTTATCAATAATATTGCTAACTTAATAAAAGACAGATGTGAAAGAAAATGAAAAATATGAAGATTAAATTATAAGAAACACAAATACCAATCTAGTTGCACTAACTTTCGCGTTATCTTGATTCCCAATTGTATGTGTATACTAAATTAAATTTATAATTTCCAGCTGGTTCACTTTTAAACGAGTTACAAATTGAAATATATCTAATTATTTATTCACACAGCCAGACAATGTGTGCCCGATTCCAGCCAATTCGAACAGCCAATCAAAGTATTCCATTATAAATGCAGGTATGTAACCAATAACCCACCCAAGGTCTACTCGTGCAAAGGTTGGAATAAGGAATGTTTCTTTGTTTCAGTCCATATTGCACTGAGTACATGGCTTAAATCCTTAAATAATGATTCTCACATTCATTTCCGAGACCAATAAAATATACTGGTCTAATCCTTTCCATAGTGTTTATTGGGATCGCTCTTAATATTGGATTGTATTTTGTTTACCACCAATAAGTTGAGCAATACTTTTTGGGCATCATGATATACCATGACATCTCATTTCTTCTCAGCCCTGAGATGTTTCAGGTGAAACAGAAAGATGCTATGAGTATCAGAATGCTTTTTGGGTATATCACGCCTAACCATCGACAAGGTACAGTGACAAATTATACCATAGTATACTTTAGATGTACGATGTCACTATTTAACCGATTTTAGACAAAGACAATGCTGTACTGTAGGTTTGATGTAGGATTTAAAAAATAATCCGAGGAATGCATTAAGGATTTCATGTTTAATTTTGTGTGTATTTGTTTAGGAAGACATCTAAGTTTCCGAGAAGTAATAACGTTAAACGATTTAGGAACAATGCTTGATTCTTTTCGTAGTTAATCTACCCACATGATTGGTCGGTTGGAAAATCTTGTTCTTTACACATTTCCTTTGATCATTTCCTCCCCTGTCGTCTAAGAGAGTGTCGAATACTTTTATGATAATAGGTTTATTTTAGCTACACAATTAAGGTCTGTTGAAGATTTAATAAGTATTAACATTTTGGCTATAATTTAAAAAAGCATAAGTGTACGTTGTCAACTCGAATGCACGTTGACCCATTGAACTTTCTCAATTCACAGTTAACCCTAATGCAGAAAGGTATTTTTCATAACACTAACAGACAGGGGGGGTCAGATGCATTTAAAATTGAAACAGAACAATTACAGAGTGACTTATTTCAATTTTATTGAACTATTGAAACTTTCCAGATATATCATGAACAGTTTTTTAAAAAGTCATATTTAATAAGCAAGTATAGATCAGTAGATCTATCTATCAATGTAACTAACAAAACGTAAGGTACGTACGCCAAATAATCAAACATGCTGGAAGCAGACTCTGTGGCAGTGCTAGTCTTCAACATATTCTATCCAGAGACACTGGGTGGGAGTTTGGGCTGGAAGCTAACACCAAATGGGCACACATTTACCATCACCGCACCAATACTTTCATAAAATGAAAAAGCAAAAAGGATACTTGAACATGATCGTTAAAGATCACTTGTTACTAATAAAAACCTTAATGAATTTTGAAATGAAATCATTACATTGTTTAATATTACGTATATCTCATGAATTTCAATTACAAGGACAACGTACATTCGAGTTGACAACGCACTGATTTTTGATCTGATTTTTTAAATTACAATAAATACTTGAATACTTACTAATCTCCACCCGTTCTAAATTGTGTAGGATAGAGAAACATATTCTCATAAAAATAATCGACACTCTTATACAACAGGGGAAAAATGATCAATGGAAATGGGAAAAACCCAACATTTTCCAACCGATCAATTTTCGTGGGTAGATTGATTACGAAAAAATCGAGCACTATTCGAAAATCTTTTAACGTTATTAGAAAGTTAAATGTCTTCCTAAACGAATACACACGAGATTAAACATGAAATCTTTCAGGTATTCCCAATATTAATTTTTCAAAACTTACATCACACCTGCATCATTGTCTTTGCTTCAAATCAGTTAAATAGTGACATTGTACATCTAAGTGTACTACGGTACATTTTGTCACTGTACCTTGTCGATGGTTAGGCGTGTATATCCCGTACGGTCGTAATTTACGTAACTAACATTGAAGATAGACCCAGAAATCCCTCCTTGAAGGAGCCCTGTGCTCTTTAATGTGCAAATTAAGTCTTGCCTGAACCGGGGATCGATTCCGGGACCTATTTCGTAAGAGGTACCGCTGAGCTCTAATACGGGTGGAGTGCAATACTGATACCGTTTGCATTCACTCGACTTTGCTTCTCAAAATAGAGCTACACTTCTGACATATACTATTCATTGTTCATATATGACACAATACGTATAGATGTACATTGTTTAACACAGCTAAACAGTCTGAACTGAGCCACGTCTTTCCTAGTTCAA